CATTCGTGGCACAGATGGGGTTTTCTGCCGGAAAGTACTGCACCGATACGAAGATGTATCCAAACGAGTTAGCGCCTCCCCACGTTACATGACAAATGTACCTTCCAGCATCTGATTCGGTGAAGTCAGTTATTTGCAAATAAAATGCACTGTGCTCGCCAAACGAGCGATTTGCAATGGAAAATCTGGGATCATTTGTCTTAATGATGGAATTCCGGGTGAGCCAATTAATGTCTTCGGATCCATTTGACTTACCCCACCAAACTCGATATAAAGCTTTGCTCGAGGCAGAGCAGTTCATAGACAGTGTCTTGCCTTCTGTGATATTAATGAACTCGCTGGCTGGCCTAGCTGAGCCTTTAGTCAGAAACAGAGGAGTCACTTCTCGAGGAATGCAACTCAGCAAAACCACACTCATCAGAAGGAAGTACACGTACCTCCAAGACGCTGGCTGAAATTGTACCTGCTGTTGCTTGAGTAGCATCATGATGTGTCGCGTGGTTCGCTGCATGCTCGCGACTTAGATTATCTGCTGTGGCGCGAATAAGTAACAATATACACATGTATACCTATTCGAATTTGATATCAAATCACCCAATTATTTATCGTTTCCTCTTTATAACTTGTAACTTGCGGCAGACATGTTGTGATAGTGTCACAAGTTTTCTTTTTGCCACTCAGTCACATAATGTAGAAAAGAAACTTGTGCACGCGAACGACAAACAAAATGTGTCATAACAAAACAATGCATTTTGGCATTTCTTTCGTTTTGTTTCCTTATTTAATTGATTTTATTTATTTAACTACAGGATACTTTGTAAACACTTTTTCAGTGTTGGATTTCATATTCGATTGATGGCGACGTTTTTAATAATAAATGCAAATTCAGGGCGTACATGTACATATTGTGTTAATCTCAGTCTATCCTTTACGGTATTATACCTCCCCCCCCCCCACGCCCCGGTCAAAGAAATGGGTAAATAGCCTCTTATACAGGCTGACCAAAAATGCAACTCTGAAACAATTGCCTTTTTTTTCAAAAACGCAATCTGTAATGCTCTTATGTTTTACATATCGGCATAAAGCTGAGAGGTTTTTATTTCAAAGACTATCAGAACAATGCATGTCAGCATTTCTTTGGTTTTGTTTCCTGATTTGATTTATTTTATTTATATAACTACAGGCTACTTTGTAAACACACACTTTCAGTGTTGGATTTCATATTCGATTCATGGCGACGTTTTAAAGGCAAAATTAGGGCGGAAATGAATATATTTTATTAAACTCAGTCGATCTTTTACGGTCTCCCCCAGTCAAAAAAATGGGTGAATAGCCTCCTTTACAGGGTGACCAAAAATTGTAACCCTGATGCATTGTGGTGGTTTTTTCTCAAAATCGCGACTTGTGTGTTTTAAGTTTTAAATATCAAATTAAGCTGAGAGTCTTTCTTTCAAGTACATGTTAAAAAAATCATAAAAACAGCACATTGGTTTGCTGAGAAAATGCCAATTATGTAAAAGGAGGTAATTTAGACTCCTTTCCAATAGTGCTTTACAATAAACATGACACTTTTCGCCCATTGTTCAATTGTCTTCAATTTATGCAATTTCTTTATTACATGTATATTGAGATATTTATGATGCCTGAAAGGTTGATAATTGAGCTAAAAATATAAGGTATTTTCATCAAATTCGTTTGCACTTTGCATCAAATTCGTTTTGGAAAAAACTCTTCAAATCATTAAAATACTTAGGGCTTTATGAAATTTCTGCAAATAGACAAAAAAAGGTATTTTAAACTTTCGCTTGTTTGATGAAATGTATACGTTACATGTTTTGCTTGAATATATGTTTAGACAATTTTATAAATTACATGCCAAATGGGGAAGAGATTTGAAAAACAATTCATGATTTGGCTTGTATGTCCTTGCGAAGTCCACTGTTTATACGTACATTGTACACGAACAGCTGTTACATGCTTCGACACTAATACTTTTATCTCATTGTATTGTATTCGTAATGTATTGTATTTGTCTGTATATACATGTTTGTAGTCATTTTTTTATTGTATGCAGGGCCCCAATGGAAACCAGTTTTAAACTGTTTGGACATACCGTGGGTAAAGAAATGTAATAAATAAATTAATAAATACCTATTAGGCCTAAGTGCATTAAACTTAACATGAATTCAGTTTTTCCCATTCGGGCAAAATTATCCTGCAACTGTTTCTCAATCCTCTTATTCCACTTGTTAAGAAAGTTACTTACCACACAGTTATATTTACAGCAGCTTTGGTTATACATTGCTACAAAGTGAAGCTCTTTTTTTCTATAATGTTAAATGTTAAGACGAGGAAATAATAAACAAGACAGCTGGCAAGCCCCCCTTTAGCTCGTCCCTTAAACTTGGTTAGTATTCAAAGTAGTCATCTGAGTGATATTTGGGGCCCAGGTGAGGCTTTAACAATCGTATTCACAGGTGCCAGTCCAACAGTGAGTCAGTGAGGTTTGTACAAAGAAGACGGTAGGTTGGCCCTCTGGGACCAGCACAAAGGTAATCTCATCGGTTCGATTACAAACAGAACTAATCTGACAGTCTGCAGTGCATGGTGGTTATTATTTTTAACACGCCCTGTATAATTGTATTGTGACTGTATAAATTCAGGATGTTTTTCTTTTTTACATTTCCGATATTTATCATGGGAAACTTCTTTTTTTTAAACAAAGAACCGATAGTGGCACAGCACAGCCATAATATGCTAAAGGATTGTGCAAATTCTGATGAAAGCATGAAACTTCGCATGTTGGTTAATCATGCCATGAAGAAAATTTTCAGATATACAGGCATTTCATATTTGACCTCTGGTGATCTTTGAGAGGTCAATGAACTTTACACTCTATTCATAACATTTGTTCTTCAAACCTTCACTTTCCTATGACCTACGTCTATGTCATAAGCCTGCAACATATTGCTTACAGTATTGAACCAGATCCAGAAGTCTTCATACAATGAAAATAATGATCAGATGTGGGAACATTTCATATCTGACTTCTGGCGGCCTTTGAGAGGTCAATTACCTTGTAAACCTGTTTATAGATTTGTGTACGATTTATTCTTTAAACCACATCTTTTTTTCACGATTCAAGTCTAAACGAAAGGTGTTCATGCTATAAAGAACATTTTCATGTATAGGACATTTTATATTCAACCTCTGGTGACCTTACGATAGCCTACCTATAGATATTAACACAATTTACACAATTGTAAATGCTATTTTTTCATGATCTAGTCGTAAACTTAACTCTTTGTGCCATGAAAAGAATTGTTAGATGTGGGGACATCATTTTTGACGTAGTGATACCATCGGAGAGGTCAATGAACTTCGTATATCTTAGTTGCCGTTATTAATTATTCGTCAAAACGCTATTTTTTTGTAGCCTCAATTCGCTCTTTTCACACTCAGCCATTGGGCATGCAGAGCCTCGATCTGGCAACGTTACACAATAAAAATAGCCTGTTCAGTGATCTGAACCCCGACACGGGAATCACTGAACCAGCTATACTTATTGTGCAAAGTTGCCAGATCGAGGCTCTGCATGCCCATGGCGGAAGTGTGAAAAGAGCGAATAGTGCCAAAGAACGGTATTGTACCTATTAGTGCAATGTCATGTTATGAATTCAGACCAATTTTGAGGTGACCTCTGACCGCGTTTCTCCTTCCTTTATTGGCAGACGCAATATGATGAGATAGGAAAAGACATTTAGCGGCCGTTTTGTAGTGGAATATGTACATGTTTCAAGCAATATTCCATTTTATGTATTTATTACACCTTGCTGTATCAAGATGAACCCGGATAACCTTTTTACCAAGCCGAATGGTCACTGTTAGAGAGTGATGCTTGTCCGATGTGCCGCTTATATTCTTTCGCGTCTGCATCTGCCCTTATAAAAAGGAAAAATTGAGATCTTAGGTCATGCAAAAATATTCTTCGGGATCTGTCTTCATGACATGTTGTAGAATAATTATTAAAATACACGCCTTTGCTTTTTGGTCACGAAAAAGTGGTATTGGGAAGATTAAACATGATAAATAACGGCAATCAGAGTATTCAAAGTTCGTTGACCTCGCAAAGGTCATCAGAGGTCAAATATGAAATGTCTACATATCTAAAAATTCATATCGTGGAAAGAATACCCACAATTTAAATATGGGTAATAAAAAAGTGGTGTTTTGTATAGTTAATCCTCTTATTATCTTTAAATAGGATACGCAAGTTTCATTGACCCCTTGGAGGTCATCAGAGGTCAGATATGAGATTCCCTACATATTAAATTCTTTTCTTAACATGAGCCTCTTAACATTACGATTTGGGTCTTTAAAAAGTTTGGGTTTAAAGGGTAAATCGTATAAATAACTATAAATAGAGGTGGTGCAGTTATTACAAAGGTCATTGACCTCTGGAAGGTCATCAGAGGTCAATTGTGAATTCTTTTCGCAATTGGTCGTTATTTACATTGTATGAAGACTATGCACATACTTAGGTCATAGGAACGTGATGTTTTCAGAGAACAATAGAGTATTCAAAGGTCATTGACCCCTCAAAGGTCACCAGGGGTCAGATATGAAATTCCTCCATATCTGAATTTGTTGTCATGGTATGAAGACCTCACATGCCAAGTTTCATGCTTTTATCACAAAATGCACAAATCTGTCCCTTTGCCGCACCACTACGAAGAATTTGTTGAAATGAATGTAACTTAAAAGGTTCACAAATTCATACCAGAACCGAACATTAGTAACAAGTCCTTTTGGGTGTGTGTTATGTTGATGACTTCATTAATATACCAAATATTTAGGCCCCGCCCACCGCGCACGTGCACCGATGCCTTACTGTGTTTTCCAGACGTGCGCGTCTCATACGCATTTGCAAGCATGTCAAACATAAATCGTGGCTGTAATTGGTCAAATTACTGTGGGGAGGGGCTTGTTAGTGGATCGGTCTATTGCAGTTCCAGGTAACTACTCGTCACTTCATTCTCGCCGATATCACGATCCACCTGCTGGTAGGCGGCGTTGTCAGTGTCTAATTCCCTGGGTCCGATCCGCGTTTCGTACGCTTGATCAGAGACTCTGGTCCCCGTGAAGTCATCGTCTCGCATTGTTGTTACCAAGTACGGAATGACCGAAAGTTCCGTGTCTGGTGGTTGATTTCCCTCGACGGGTGCGGCCGTTTCCCCCTTTGGATCGTTCCCTCGCCTCTTGACTGTCTGTTGACGCTTCCTTATGCACGCCAGGGAAACCAGAAAGCCGACAACGAACGCTGCAGGGATTCCCACTGCAGCCACGATGTACCCCGTGTGAGTTTCACTGGTGACTGCGCTGGTAGGAAGCAAGCCTGTTGATGTGTTGGTTCCGTCTACGAAAATGCCAGGTATGGTTTGCGTTGAGCATACCTCCACAATTGTTAGAGCTCGACTAGATGTGTTCGGGGTATTTAGCAGGATGGGGCTGACAGAGCAGCTCTGATTCTGTCCTGGAAATGCAGAACTAGTCACCGTGCATAAAAAGACTTGATTCTGCAGGTGCTCCCCGAGCTTAACAACACACCTTACTCGTTCGTTCTGCGGTAGTTCCGTGCTGTAGACGCTGCATGTGACTTCCTTGTCAGAATGGTCCACTCTCCAAGTGATGGTCACCCCAGGGTTGCCGATCGCAGTATCGCACCACACGGCGACGCTTTCGGTAGGAATCCGATCGCTTTCATTCGTGGCACAGAATGGGTTTTCTGCCGGAAAGTACTGCACCGATACGAAGATGTATCCAAACAAACTAGCACCTCCCCACTCAGCGTGACACTTGTACCTTCCAGCATCCGATTCGGTGATGTCAGTTATTTGCAAAGAATATGCATTGTGCTCGCCAAACGAGCGATTTGCAATGGAAACTCGGGGATCATTTGTCTCAACGATGGAATTCTGGGTGAGCCAATTAGTGTCTTCGGATCCAATGGACTTACCCCACCAAACTCGATGTAACTCTGGGCCCGAGGCAGAGCAGTTCATAGACAGTGTCTTGCCTTCTGTGATATTAATGAACTCGCTGGCTGGACTAGCTGAGCCTTTAATCAGAAACAAAGGAGTCACTTCTCGAGGAATGCAACTCAGCAAAACCACACTCATCAGAAGGAAGTACACGTACCTCCAAGACGCTGGCTGAGATTGTACCTGCTGTTGCTTGAGTAGCATCATGATGTGTCTCGTGGTTTTTTGTGTGCTCTCAACTTAGATTAGCTGCCGTGGCGCGAATAAGTAACAATATACACATGTATACCTATTCGAATTTGATATTGAGTCACCCAGTTATTCATCGTTTCCTCTTTATAACTTGTAACTTGCGGCTGGCATGTTGTGATAGTGTCACAGGTTTTCCTTTTGCCACTCAGTCATATAAATAAATGTAGAAAAGAAACTTGTGCACGCGAATGAAAAACAAAATGTGTCATAACAGAACGATGCATTTCAGCATTTCTTTCGTTTTGTTATTATTTAATTTATTTTATTTATTCAGCTACGGGCTTCTTGTCAACACACTTTTTCAATGTTGGATTTCATATTCGTTTGATCGCGACGTTTTTAATATTAAACGCAAATTCAGGGCGTACATGTATATATGGTGTAAATCTCAGTGGATCCTTTACGGTCTTACCTCCCCTCCCCCCCCCCCGCCCCAGTCAAAGAAATGGGTAAGCAATGGCGGATCCAGAACACAATTTGGAGGGGGCCAAAAAAAAATTTGGTCCCCCAAAAAACTGGGTCAAAAAAATACGGCGTGGGGTTCGGGGCCCGCTTAAGGGCCCCGAATTTTTTTTGGATTCTAGATGCTTTGTGGTGCGATCTGAGGCAATTTCTGACCACTTTAACCAATGTTTTTTGAGGAAAAGATGGTGGTGTACTCATTGCCTGCCTTTATTGCGATGTCCCATAAAAAAAAAAAATTGGTTTCGTTTTTTTTGGGGGGGGGATGGCCCCCTTTGCCCCTCCCCCCCCCGGATCCGCCCTTGTGGGTTAGTAGCCTCTTATACAGGATGTCCTAAAATGCAACTCTGAAACAATTGCCTGTTTAGTTTTTTCAAAAACGCGATCTGTAATGATTTTATGTTTAGATATCGGATTTAATCTGAGAGTTTTTTCTTTCAAATACTGAAAACAAATCACGAAAACAGCACATTGGGTTGCGGAGAGAGGTGGAACCAATTGATTCAACGCTCTTCCATGCAGCGCCCCTACGACGGGCAAGCGGTAGGTAATCATCAGTAAGTGTACCTTTGTTTTTTTTGTCAGATAAACATCATCACTGCTCTCGCTCTTTTTCCCCACCAAACTTTCTGCAACATGTCTGTTGAGACAGAACAATGCAGAACTAATGTCCCACCATCCACAACCGTTACAGATTCAGTTGGTGGTTCCTCCTGCGAGCATCGTGTCAGTATCACAACGCCGTCTCCCAATTCTTTACCTAGGCTGATAATACTCATCAACAGAAAACACATCAAAACCAATTCGACAAAAGATAAATCAAGCATGAATCGATGGTTAAGCTCTATATTTGGCAGCTGATTTGGTGCCAACGCAGAGACCGTTGAGATGTTGGGAATGTTTACACGGTTTCAAGTCATTATTAATGGCTGGAGCCGCCACTGTCCAGGAAGAAAGTGGCTCCCTACTCTCTTTGTATTTCTCTTTGTTATGTACTGACGTCCGTTCACATGTGCTGGTTTTGGACTGTGTTCACGTCGGGCCGGCCGGCATTTGCTTTTTCTCTGAACATGAAGAGGTCGAAAAGGTTTCTCATTTGAAACGATCTAATTAACATTTTTATATACATGTATTCGTGATTTTGATTTGGGGTTTGATCATTTAGGCCTACGTATTCAGTTTGCTTTTTTGCACGGATGGTATGATTGAACCAATAACATTTGCTCGATTCAAAAACTTTCAATTAAGACAATACCTCTCTGAACATGAAGTGGTCGGAAAGCGTTCTCTTTTGAAATGATTATTGATGTCTATTTTTATATGCATATATTTCTGGTTTTGCTTTAGCCTACGTATTCAGTTTGCGTTTCGCAGGGATGGTATGATTGAGCCAATACAATTTGCTCGGTTCAAAAGCGTTAGATTGAGATATGGACTTATTATTTTATGTTTATTTCTTTGTTTCACTTTGTTGGTGTCGATCCATTTTTTTTTCCAATTATTGTTTCTTTTATGTGCTTCATTAATTGTTGTGGGTTGTTGCAGCACTGTGCTGTGATGACATCCCTTGATTCTGTGCCAATTCGCGGCCGTGTAACAAAAAGTCCCATATTTTTTTTCAGAACACCAAACTGGTCTTGGAACCTTTGCATCCTGCGTTTCGCACGCTAGCGACTTAGATTAGCTGCTGTGGCGCGAATAAGTAACACTATTACATAAAGTCACCCAGTTATTCATCGTTTCCTCTTTAAAACTTGTGTTGTGATAGTGTCACAGCTTTTCCTTTTGCTATTCAGTCACATAATGTAAAAATAGAAACTTGTGCACGCGGATGAAACATACAATGTGTCCTAACATAACAATGTTCTTTGGCATTTCGTTCGTTTTGTTTTCTTGTTCAGCAATAAATTGATATAACTGAATGAACTTTGTATAAACACAGAGTTTTAATGTTTGATTTCACGCTCGATTTAGGGAGGTTGTTTATTTTTTTCTAAAAGGCAAGTTAACATTGTATACACTGTAAAAAGTAAGTTCAGTTATTGAAAACAATCTTGCTTTCAATTTGTAAACATGTTTAGAAAGCTACCAATGTTCAAGTACAAGTGCGAGCATAATCCATTATTACTCTAACATGTTTAGTATTAAAACATGTTTAAAAATTGAGAGCAAGAAAGTATTATAAGTGGGCAAATTTTGGGTAAGTACGAAAGACAGCAAGTTTGGGCGAGGACCATTAGACAACTAGTGGTTGGTTGATTTGTGACGTAACTTGCGCCTGCGCACTATCAGCAACTTGCAAACGCCTCTAGTCAGACGCTGGTCAAAGTCCTGGCCCCCAGTTGTGCCTACAACAAACAGACTGCACGTTAACTAGGACTATTTGCAGAAACAAATTTTATTCTCTCAATCTGAGTACCATACATTTGACACTTCATTCATTTCCAAAGGAAATCTGGGTATAAATGTGATCGGACACTACACTAACATTACAATAAAAAGTTCTGAAAAGCTCTCAAAAATATAATTCAGGGCTAGAATTCACTTGAATTTTTGTAGCTGATCTGTGAATTTGGAATCTCATTAACAAATGTCTTCGCAACAGAATAGGGGATAAATTGACGAGTAGTGGTTTCTCAATCATCATATATCGGCCTCCTTCATACCTTAGTATATTACGTTTCCTGGGGGACATACAAAAGTCCAAGAACCTAAATATATTCTGTCGTGTTATTCTTCACCTTAAATACAAAAGTGTACATTTGGTGAAGAATAAAGGTTCTTTTCTTGGTTATTATTTTTTTATAGCAACAAATCGACATGCATACCTGTGTGATCACGTAAAGTTATAAAACCACATTTGGGCAATTCCACAGAATTGTAAGTCTCAATGAAAAAAACTTCAATTATCCAAATGCCAGCAATGAATCATGTGTATCATTTTTATTATTACGGGGAATGGTACCTTAGGGGACATTCCCATAGGGTTTGTGCACATTGTCAAAAGGTTTCCAACTTCAATGACCCCTTACCCCAATTTCCTTTATCCTACCCACATGAATTCTGGTGTATTTACCTTTTGGACCAAGAGCCTCTATAGGAGTTGTGACATTAGGGAGAAACTGAAATGTCTCCTTAATGTCCGGTGTTTACTTATGGCGACAAATGTCTCCTTAAGGGTACATTAACAGTAATTAAGCTTACTAGCTGCATTTCACTGAAATATAGCTTATTTCTAACAATGTTCCACAGTTCAGCTGTTACCTTTTTGACAAAAGTACACAAAAAACATCAATTAGTTGTCTGAGACGTCCGACACCATGGTTTTTCGAGCCTATTTTTCTTTATAGTACAGCAAAAAATGATGGATGAAGAATTTAATTTTGAAATCACTGTAGTAACTAGACGTTTCTGAGCCTTTTTTCATAATTAAAATCCACTTTATGATTATAACATTTATTATGCACACCGTTGAATTGTCCAAAATGTACGTCCGACACCATGGAACTACCAATTTCATATTTTCAGGTTTCATAAAGGGTGTCACTCACACTGCAAACTTCATTAAAATCATTACATTTGCAAAAAGTACTATCACAATAGTGAAATATAATCTGGGTAAAAACCTTCAAATATAAAAGCTCCGCTAATCTTTTGTCTGAGCTTAATATCTACGCAACTTGAAAACTTTCTTGATTACACACAGAAAATAGTTTTTAAAAAAACTCAATGCTAGAAAAACTTGCCAAATTATAAGAAATTTGTTTGCACTTGCGATTTCGTGCCTAATTATGGCAGACCAAAAAAAGAGTTAACAAATAAATTGTTAAGCTCATATTTTGTCTGAGGACGAACTCATTATCTAGGCAACTTAAGGAACTCTTGCATAAACAAAGAAAACACTTCAAAAAAGATACACATCATGATACTAGATCCAATTGCCAAATTAATGGAAATGTGTTTCAAACTATGAATTAATGCATATTTAGGGCCCGCTAATAAAACTTGCTGCCCACTTCCTTGGGGAAAACCAAAGCAGGACAATTGTGTCAGTTTCAACTGATTTCGGTTTTCTGTGACACGGGGCTCAAGGGGACATGCACGATGCTTGTGCAAATCCATGCTTATACTTTAAAAATGGTCATGAACATGTTAAAAGCCTTTTGCTTGTGTTTGTAAGATACAACACCCAATATCCTTTCCAGATATGTACTTAAGGTAACCATTTAAAAATTCAGATATTCAGTCCAATCTTAGCAGATGATCTTCACTGAAATGCTACAATAACTTTAGTGCAGAGGGTAAACAGATATTTGTGTTGCATCATTACATCACTGTTTCGTTGACGTCATTGAGTTGTGCATCATCTGTGAAGCTCACAAGAGATCCTGGAAGCTGGATGATAAAAGGAAAGCAGAAACTTTCACAGTTTCGTGTAATTTCACAAAATATTTGCTTTAACAAGGATAGTGACTCACCAAAGAATTTGA